CGGTCCCACCCTTCGTCGCTATCAACATTCGTTGCGAACCGAGTAGCTGAGATTCAGGAGTGGTCAGATGATGCTACGTGGAGGCATGTTCCAACTAAACAGAACCCAGCAGATATAGTTTCGAGAGGTTGTGACATTGAGGAGATTTTGCTGTCGATCTGGTTTAGTGGACCAGCGTTTTTGAATGAAGAAGAAGAGAGCTGGCCCAGAAACTTCCACTTCGAGCTTTCTGAGGAAGAGCTGAAGCTGGAAACCAGGAAGACAGCGGTCGGACTGACCTTGGCTATAATCGAGGAATACTCCTCACACCTCAAGCTGCTAAGAGTGTTCGTTTACGTGTTCCGCTTCATCCGAAAATGCAAAGATAAAATTCTTAAATTTGAAGTCACTCCGTCACCGGTAGAGTACGATGAGGCTTTTTACAAAATTGTCGAGCTGATCCAGAAAAACGAGTTTTCAGGAAGAGATCGAAAGCGTTCGTAAAGGCCCCAGGTTAGGCCCCAGTCTTCAGCGATTGAATCCCTTCATCAACGAAGAAATGGGGACTTGGTGCTCTTTTTCGTTGTTGCGAGTTGGGGGCGACTAGTTAACGCTCCTATGTCATACCATGCCGAGTTTCCGCTGCTGTTAACAAAACGCTCCCAGTTTGTGCAGACCTATGTTCGCTATCTTTATCAAACGAATTTTCATGCCGGCCCACGAGCACTTGTGAGCATCCTTAGTCAGCGTGTTTGGATAGTAAAGCATTTGCTGCTTTAAATGCAAGCCTCGACTCCAGACCCAAATGATGGGAAATCTACCCGCAGACCGGCTCCGTGCTCTCCGCCCATTCGCAGTATGTGGCGTTGATTTTTGTGGCCCAGTCTATACGACATTAAAACTTCGTGGAAGGCCCCCTTATAAGTCCTACATAGCGTTACTTGTCTGTTTTTCGTCCAAGGCGGTTCATCTAGAAATTGTCTCCGATCTAACGACTAACTCCTTCTTATTGGCTTTTCAAAGGTTCGTTGGTCGTCGAGGATGTCCGCTTCGCGTGAACTGCGACAACGCGACAAATTTCGTCGGAGCAAGTCGCCACTTCGACGAGCTGAGGAGGACGCTAGAGACGGAAGCGGACGCAATTCGAGAGTTCGCAGCGAGAAGCGGCTGAGAGTTCGCCTTCCTGACACCTCGAGCTCCGCACATGGGCGGACTGTGGGAGGCAGGAGTGAAGTCGGCCAAAAACCTCCTGCTGAGGTCGGCCGGAAGCGCGTTTTTCACCGCCGAAGAGCTGGAGAGCGTGATGGTGGGCATCGAGGCGGTGCTCAACTCGCGCCCTCTGGGATCACTAAGCCCCGACCCAAGCGACGGAGACGCCCTGACTCCCGGGCACCTGCTGAAAGGCGGGCCGCTCATCGCACCCCCAGCACCCCGGACCAGGAGGGTCTGAGTTGCTTAAGGCGATGTCGGCTTGTCCCGGGAGGATGTGCGGGGCTTGAAAATACGATGCAAGTGGCACCAGGAGCAGCCCAACGTCGAGGAAGGCGACCTCGTCATCGTCGCAGAGGACAACCTTCCGCCCCAACAGTGGCTCCTCAGAAGGGTCGTCGCAACCCACGCCGGGTAGAACGGAAAGGTCAGGGTGGTCGACCTCAGGACGTACTGCGGAGCGGTCTACAGGAGGCTAATCCATAAGTTGGCGCTTTTGCCGATGGGTTGAAGCCCCACAGGCCTTCAACGGGGCCGGTGTCACGTTACGACGTGACCTTTAGGTTAGGTTAAGTTAGGTTGTCCCGGACGGCCCTCACGGGGCCACGCATAGGCCAATATGGCCCTTAGTTGTCCAGATTGGTGCGTATGGACCTTCTGAGTGTTTTTACGCGGTTTTGAAATCCGTGAGGATCGAGGAGAGTTTTGCAAAGGCAAGGAGTTTCGCTGGCGTCCTCTTGGATGCATCTTCCAGCGATGCCAGTACCGGGCTGCCAAGATGTATGTTTCTTGCCCTTGAGAGGGCCGGGCATTGGCAGATTAGATGTTCCAGGGTTTCGATAGCCCCAGATTCATCACATTTCCTGCACTTGTCACTGTTGGTGATGCCTAGTTTGACTGCATGTGCTGCAGCCAGGCAATGACCTGTGAGTATACCTATTAGCATCCTACAGTCCTTCCGTGGTAGGTGTAGTAGGTATTGGCTGAGTTTACCATTGCTCTCCTTGCACATGGTTTTCGCGATCTTGCAGTTGGTGGTTCTCCTCCACCTGCTGCTGGCCTGTATGTGTGCCCTCCTTTCTAGATCGCTTTGGAGCGCTCTGAGGGAGACAGGCACGTTCTCAGTCCTGTCGTTTGCCAGCCCGACGCCTTCCTTAGCCAGTACGTCTCGTTGCCTTCGATGCCCTGGTGGCTGGGAACCCAATAGATCCGCACTGACTTTGTCGTGCTTAGGAAATCTAGTGCCTCCCTGCTTGCCAGGACATTTTTGGAACTGACCGCTGACGACTGCATGGATCTTATCGCCGCCTGGCTGTCCACGAACAGGTTGACCACATTATGTGGGCGTTCCGTACATCGAGCAACCTCCGCCGCTTTCCGTATGGCAAAGACTTCTGCCTGGAATATGCTGCATTGGTCCGGTAGCTTATATGACAGCCTTATTTCAGGGTCTGTACAATATATGCCCGCACCTACTCCTCCCTCCATCTTGGAGCCATAACGTGACCTTTATATTTTTGTTAAATTTTGAAGTCTAGTGTAAGTTAGTTTAGGGCGAAGAGGGAGCGCAAGAAAGCTATCTCTCGCTCTTGGCGAATTCCCCCTGAAGCCCTAGATAAGTTAGGCTTAAGAATATGTTATAACATAAAAAGAAAAGAAGTCGAAAAATGGTATTGAATTCGAGCGCACGTCTCTTTTTTTAGTCTCCCTCCTTTTGCGTCGAAAATATAAAATTTGCAGCCACCAAACTCGGTTTTTAGTTATTGAAGTTTATTTAGAAAAACTATTCTGCAAATAACATTAAAACATAAATAATTGTATGACATATTGTGTGGCATTTGAGTAGTTGACTTATGTATATATTAAAATCCATTAAAGCTAAACTATTTGTGACCAAAATGTTTTTGTTTTTGTTAAATACAGCTGTATGCAAAGAACTAGCAGTTTGCAATTTACATTTCCTTCTTAACGTCAATTAAAATGTATTTAAAGACCACTGTTGAGCTATTGAGATTTTTTAATAGCGTAGAGTTAGATTGAACTTTATAAATTTATTGAAATCACGACACAGCTTGTTTGATTTTATTACGTTTGCTTTATTTGCCATGCCCCTCCGCCAATCGATATGATCCGCAACGCAAAACTCCTGAACTTCCTTCATATGCCTTTATGCCAGGAATAGCTTCTTCAACTCTGCCAACTCGTTCTTTGCTCCGACAAAGTTGGTTACGTTATCGGACCAAAATTTCCCTGAGCCGACCGCGAGTTAAAATTAATCGCTTTAGAGCGCTTATGAACGCTGGCGTCGACAAATCCTGCACAAGCTCCAAGTGAACGGCCTTGGTGGCAAAGCATATGAAGAGACATATTTAGCATTTGATGGGTGGTCTGGTCCTCACCTCACTCTTGTAAATGGACGGACCACCAAAATCCACACCGGTGACTTCAAAAACGTACGACGCATTCACACGATCCTTCGGCATGTCGGCCATAATATGCTGAAACAAGCTTTACGACTTTGGCCACTATCTTGCGCACTCCAATTGGCCAATACTCATGCCGAATAAGTGCGAGCAATGTGTGAGGAACATGGTTCCACATAGAGGTGCGAGGGTTAAGGTCAGGAATGGTTTATCTGAGGATATCCGGCCGCGGCGAAATCACCCGGTGGGTGAGCGAGTTTCGTGAGAGATGTGGGAAGCCGGGATCGGGCCGGCGGCGCCTGAACGCATGTCCTAATAAGGTCATGAAATCACGCCACCGCGATGATCCCGTTAAGAAGATCGTGGAAGCCACAGAATCGTCGATGGAAAAGTACCGGCCGCGTGGGAGTACCGTTGGCTGAGGCCTATATAAGGCGGCCGGTGGCGGTGGTGGCAACAAGGCAACACGTCGAGTGAATAGGTGTGAAAAGCGAGTGCAGTAAGGGGACAGAGTGACAAGAGTGAGTCCAGCAGTGAAAAAGAGTGCATATCGACCCCTTTGTGAAGTCGGTGCCATCGTCGAACCTGAGCAACATTTCCTTATCATTGTCAGGAATTCCCTCAAGTACGTCAGGGACGTTGGAGCACCATTTCCGAATTGGGAACCTTCCCAGAGCCAATAACTGTGATGTCTGCTTCATCTTTTCGCGCACTTCCTCTACAGATCCTCCTCCAGTCATCAAATCGTCGACATAGAAATTGGAAGTCAACACTTCCGAACCAATGGGAAATGCAGTCTTCTCTTCTTCGGCCAATTGGAGCATGGAACGAATTGCAAGATAGGAAGCCTGTTTGGTTCCATATGTCGAACTTGAACGCCTTTACATCCTCCATAAGATGCACTGCAGGTAATTGTCTGGCTCAGATACTCAGACACACCTGTACATCTCGCAAATTTCACCAGTCAATGAGTAACGTACGGACATTGTACATTTTATGTAACAGCTTTGGCTGGATAGTAGGCCCCGCCATTAGGACCGCGTTTAAAGAAAAACCTGTAGATGTTGTGGCAGATCCAACGAAGACGACCCGCAATTTGGTGGTAGTGCTGTCCTCCTTAAACACGCAATGATGCGGTAGGAAAAAGCGACAACGACTGAGCAGTTCTGATTCCACCAACGACATATGATTAAGCACTTGGTACTCCCTAATGAAAGATGAGTACTGAGCTTTCAGCTGCGGACGACGCGCCAAATTCCGCACCAAGTTGAGGAAGCGCCGATATGCTTGCGTGTATGAGTCGCCCAAGAAATCCAAATTTTTCTTTTCTCCAGCTTCACGGCGAACTCTCTAGATGACTGGCGCGAGAAATTTGCTTTTAAGTGCTCTTCACAATCGATATCCTCCTGCTTGACCATCACCATCTTCAGTGGAACTTTCAACCTCCCAGAAATGCCTTAGTAACAGTTCCACTTGATCGAGAGACTCCTGCCTGGCGTCAGATGAGGCCTGAGCCCCAAGTAAGGCTGTCCTACGTGTTTGCTGGCCACCTCCTGAAACCACCCATCCAAGGAGAGTCTTCTGAAGCGATGGCAAGCCAACATCCAATTTGATTTGGCCAATGCACAGCAGTTCGAAGAATAGGGTAGCCCCAATGAGAAGGTCAATACGCTGTGGCTTGAAGAACTGCGGATCTGCCAATGATAAATTCGGCGGAATTTTCCAACCAGAAACGTCAACTGAAAAGCTGGGCTGCTGCTCGGTGATTGTAGGAGCTACCAACGCGACGAAACTGGTACTGTAGTCAGAGGCTTGGGACTGCAAGTTGAGTCCCACAGTATAGCCCTCCGATACAAAACTGGAATCCCCAAGACCCGATACTGCGGCCGACGACATGGTCTTTTTTAGTCTAAGTTGTTGGGCGAGGCTGGAGGTTATAAGGTGCATTTGTGATCCGGAGTCCAAGAGTGCCCGACATGGTACGAGCGATCCAGCACGATCCCTCAGCAGAACAACTGCAGTGGCTAAGAGAACAACATCCCTGCATGGTCCATAAATAAAATATTAGATGCGTAGCACATCTTGAAATGACTTAAGCCCTTAAGCCCAAACTTTAGAAGGGTTTCCTTGTTGGCCTCTGGGACATCCTGAAGCACTTCTACAGAGCTCGAGCACTACTTTCTCAAACGAAAATTACCACGACCAAGGAGTTGTGTGGTTTTATGCATGACCTTCCGCACTTCTTCAACGGAATCGCCTCCTGATATCATGTCATCAACATAGAAGTCCCGCAAAACGACTTTCGAGCCTAATGGGTACGACGAAGACTCATCCATGGCGAGTTGTTGCATTGCACGAATGGCCAAAAATGAAGCAGGCTTGGATGTCATCTTTGGTTAGTCACGCCACAAGATACACTGTCACAGAGAATCTGGCTCTGCCACGCGCACACATCGGAACATCTTAAAAATTTTTCCGGTAATTCCAATGTACGGAAAGGCACTAGAGTGGTGAAGAGCTTCACCTGTATTGTGAGCCCTGACATCAGGAGCTCATTTAACGAGAATCCAGACGACGTCACTGCTGAGCCATCGAACACGACCCTTAACTGTGTGGACGAACTCTCCTCTTTCAATACGCAATGGTGCGGCAAGAAGTATTTACACTCATATACTTGCGAGCTAGGCACGGACGACATATGCTTGAGGTCCAAATATTTCTTAATGAATGCTGAGTATTGCTCCTTAACCTTTGGATTTCGACTAAACTTGCGCTCAAGAATCTCAAATCGCCTCTTGGCTTGCAAATATGAATTGCCTAACAGACCTACATCACGCTTCATCGGCAGATGATCAGAGAACTTTTTTTTTTGTCCAATACTAATTAAATTTATTAACAAAAAATAAAATACCAAAACCATTCAAATTTTTTTAGGCAGAAAATATATCAATAAAAAATAAAACATAATTAAAATTAAAAATAAATAAATAAATATAAAAATATAATATAATCTATCTATATATATAAAAGAAAGTCGTGTTTGTTACAACACTTATAACTCGAGAACGGCTGGACTGATTGCCATGGTTTTTGATTTGTTGGATTTGTTTCCGTCCCGAATAGCAGAATACATCTTAAAAACAATGAAAACTCGATATGTGTAATGAATAGATGCATTTCAATAGATGCTGATTTGTTTATTACACATATCGAGTTTTCATTGTTTTTCTTTCTCCATGTCAAACATTTGTTGTCCAATCCTGTCAAATAGTCAAATTCCCGAAAATAATACCTAAGATTTATTCTACAGTAAAAACATAAAATCATCGGAAAGGAACGGAATTTAGGGAATAAAAAATCAGTTTGGTGGTTTTATGCGAGTGCACATTTTAATAACAATGCCGCGTCCTAGAAGATCTAATCTTTCCCAGCGAAGCATTAATGCAATTAGGCAACGGAATATCGCGAGTCAATTATCTGATGGAGAACGAGAACACGAGAACAGCGCCGTGTTAGTATGGAGCAAAGAAGGGCCTTAATTCGTGCTTCTCAAACACAAGAGCGAAGAGAGGCAGCCCGTGAAACGGCTAGGTTAGAAAGGAGAAATCGTCGAGCTTATCGTACAGATGAACAGAGGAATAATCTTCGAAGTGCAAGAAGAAATGGTTCAAGTATTGATTTGAATCGAGCAGCGTTTCTGTATGATTGCACCATCGACTACAGCTTGCATCGTTTAGTTTGCATTGGTCCAATGGACGTTGTTTTCCAGCATTGTGGAGCATTGAAGTTTGCTGGTGAAACGCCTGGTTTGTGCTGCCTTAGTGGTAAAGTGAAATTGCCATTATTGGTCCCGCCACCAGAGCCATTGTGCTCCCTGCTTTATGGCGAAACACTAGAATCACGACATTTTCTAGCGAACACTCAAAAATACAATGTCTGTTTCCAAATGACTTCATTTGGGGCCGAAATTATCGAAGAACACGGATATAATCCGACATTTAAGGTAATTTACGTTAAAAACTTTATTTTCTATCATTGTAAAAAAAAATCTGGAATGTAGTTTTGTTTCTGTTTTTTTTTCTAAAAAAAAAGGGTTTTTTTTTTTTAATTTTCCAAATTCAAGCCCCAATTTCCCTCCCTTTTTTTTCTTTCCACCCCTACAAAAAACACCCCAACCAATTTTCCCAAATTTTTCCCCCCCCGCAAAACAAAAAACCCCCCCCCCCCCCCCCCAACAACCCACCCCCCCCAAAAACCCCCCCCCCCCCCCCCCCCCACCCACCCCTCCCCCACCCCTTCCCCCCGCCCCTCTTCTCCCCCCCCCCCCCCCCCCCCCAACCATTAAAAACTTTAAAAAAAAACACAAAACCAACCCCAAACCCCCCCCCCACACCCCCACCCACCCCCCCAACCCCCAACCACCCCCCCCCCCATTTTTTTTTTTTGACAAACCCCCTATTCTTCCTTCTCCCCCCCCCCCCCCCCACCACCCCCCAACAACAAACAAACCCCCCCCCCCCCCCCCCCCCCCCCCCTCCCCCCCCCCCCTTTTCTCTTCTTACAAATCCTTATTTTTTTTTATTATTATATTTTTTTTTTTTTTTTTTTTTTTTTTTTTTTTTTTTTTTTTTTTTTTTTTTTTTTTTTTTTTTTTTTTTTTTTTTTTTTTTTTAATTTATTTTTTTTATTTTTTATTTTTTCTCTACCCCTTTCCCTTTTTTTCTACCTTTTTTTTTTTTTTTTTTTTTTTTTTTTTTTCTTCTTTAAAATTTTTCTCTACAATTTTTCCCCTTTTTTCTTTTTTTTTTTTTTTTTTTTTTTTTTTTTTTTTTTTTCTTTTCTTCTTTTTCTTCCTCTCTCTTTCCTTTCTCTTTTTCCCTTACCCCTTCCCCCCCCCCCCCCCCCCCCCCCTTCTTTCTTTTTTTTTTTCTTTTTTCTTTTTTCCTCTTTCCCCTTTCCCCTTTCCCCCTACCACAAAAAAACAACCACCAAATTTCTCTCTATTCCCCTTTTCCCCCCCCCTTTCCCCCCCCCCCCCCCCCCCCCCCCCCCCCTTCTCTCCCTCCTTTTTCCCCCCCTCCTCTTTTTTTTTTTTTTTTTTTTTTCCCCTTTTTTTTTTTATTTTTTTTTTTTTTTTTCCCCCCCCCCCCCCCCCCCCCCCCCCCCCCTGAATTACATTGTTAAGCAACACGTCTTTGGGAATACTCGATGCTGGATGTATTCAATCGAATGGCAAAAACGAGGCCTACTGCATGCGCACATTCTGATTTGGTTAGTCGAAAGAATTCGGCCAGATCAAATAGATGACATCATATGTGCGGAGATTCCTGCTCCTGAAACCGATCCAACCGAACCTATATGATGTTGTAGTCACGAATATGATTCATGGACCTTGTGGCACTATCAACCGACAATCACCGTGCATGGTCGACGGAAAGTGTTCCAAACGGTATCCACGAAAATTGACGGCAGAGACCATTACAGGCAACGATGGTTATCCATTGTATCGGCGTCGATCACCCGATGATAATGGTAGAACTATCACAACTAAAGTGAAAGGAAACGATTTCCAAAACATTCAAAGCACATTGTAATGTTGAGTATTGCAATTCGGTCAAGTCAATTAAATACATTTGCAAATATGTCACGAAAGGGAGCGACATGGCGGTTTTTGGTATCCAAACATCCAAAACAACGATGAAATCACGCGCTATCAAGTTGGTAGATATGTGAACTGCAATGAAGCAATTTGGCGTAATTTGAACGTCATCTCACTGTTTTACATTTGGGGGCGCATCTAGAGAACGGTCAGAGAGTATATTACACAGCGTCGAATGCTGCTCAACGTGCCGAAACACCTCCAGCGACAACACTGACCAGTTTCTTTGCGATTTGTCAAAGCGATCCGTTCGCACGAACTTTGCTTTACTCAGAAATGCCACGTTATTACACTTGGAACGCTACATCGAAGAAATTTCAACGTCGGAAGCAAGGCCATGCAGTTCCTGGTCATTCAGATATGCGTTCTACTGATGCTCTTGGTCGTATTTACACAGTTCATCCGAAGAATGATGAATGTTTCTATTTGCGGTTGTTGCTGGTACATGTTCGAGGGCCAACATCATTTGAATCACTACGAACTGTTAATGGTATTGTGTGCCCCACATTTCGTGCAGCATGTCAAGAGCTAAATTTGCTTGAAAACGATACTCATTGGGACACGACAATCGCTGAAGCAATTATTTCTGCATCTCCAAGTCAGATACGCACATTATTTGCTATCATCATTTCGACATGCTTCCCATCGAACCCACGTGACCTGTGGAACAAATACAAAGATAACATGTCAGAAGATATTTTACATCGAATTCGCGTCAGCTCAAGAAATTCCGATCTTGAGGTGAATGAGGAGATCCATAACCAGACTTTGCTCTTGATCGAAGATATGTGTTACCTCATGTGCGGCAGTTTGTTAGTTAGGTTAGGAATGCCAGCGCCAGATCGCGGAATGAATGACGCATTTAATAGAGAATTGGAACGTGAACGTGAATATTATCCACATCAACTAATCCAATCAGTTCAAACGAATGTACCTCTGTTGAATCCTAAGCAGAGGGAAGTCTATGATACACTGATTAATGCAATTGATGATGGAAATGGCGGCTTATTTTTTTTGGATGCCCCCGGTGGAACTGGGAAGACATTCCTCATGTCATTGATTTTGGCCACTGTACGTGCGAGATCCGAAATTGCGGTAGCAATTGCTTCTTCTGGAATAGCGGCCACATTGTTAGACGGATGCCGTACGGCTCACTCAGCGTTAAAATTGCCATTAAACCTTCAAACTACTGAACAACCGACATGTAACATTTCGAAACACTCCGCAATGGCCAAAG